GAAAGCCTAGGATCTAGCAATGACGAAAGTGGCAACAACCAGCAGCATAGGTGCAACATTCACAAGGTGTCAATGTGCGCGACGCAAAGAGTGAAACAACGGGAAATCAATAACAACACATTCGTATCATCATCATCATAGGCTGGGAAGCAGCGCAGCGGAAGTTGTCAATGTGCGCGACGCAAAGAGTGAAACAACGGGAAATCAATAACAACACATTCGTATCATCATCATCGACACGTGGACAACAACATGAAAGGGAGAAACTTCGGAAGGGCAAGACACCAGAAAGATTGCCCTTCCGCTCACACACATGGGGAGAGATCCATAGACATGCGAGAGAGAAGGGGGAGGGACATAGAGGTAGCCAAGTCCTACCCAAGTCTGATCTCCGAATGTCGCACACAGTTCAATCCCAATGTAGATTGTAAGTCCGATCTGAATGTCGTGTCCAATGAGGCAGAAGGCCGTGTTCAAACAATGTCTGTAGTTACCTCTATCTCTACTCTGATAAAGAAGAAGTAGAAGAAGAACTTCAGAGGAGTAGGAGGAGAAGAGGAGAGGAGAAGAAGAAGAGGAAGAAGAAGAAGAAGAAAAAAGTTGGGTGCTTTCTGCACTTACCTGGCAATGGCTGAACTTGCAGGTACCGTGGAGCCAGCTATGGTGCTGGGCAGGTAAGTCCTCTTCTCTCTCTCTCTCTCTCTCTCTCTCTCTCTCTCTCTCTCTCTCTCTCTCTCTCCACTACCCTCCTCGGCGCTGGACTCCTCCAGCGCTGTGCCTTATGGCCGATGAGAGAGAAGTGCTCCTATGAGCTCACTTGGGTAGCACGGGCACTTCTCATGCAAATGTGAGTGTAGCGGACTGAATCCTCAGCTTATGTAGGCTGAAACCAGCACTCCGGTCAGTCTATGTGCCTCCCCATGTGCCTTGAGGTGAACCGAGGTACCCCCAAGGCAAAAATCCACCACTCGGCCCTTCCGGAGGTACATGGGCCGTATTTTGGTGAAGTACATGCAGTCTGAGTGGTTGGTACCAACTCAGATTGCCTCTTGGCCTCCTTCAACCTCTTTTTCCTTTTCAAAATGTTACCCCCTTGGGTCCTAAAGCCCAAGGGGCGGCCTCAATTGAGAGAAAAGGCCTAGAGGGTCTTTTTCTCGATTTTTTCAGTTTCTACCCCGTTTTTGGTAGGCCGAGGTATTTTCCCATGCCTCGGTGTCTTTTTAGCCTTAGATTTGACTGAGATTCAAGAGCAACAATATTCCGTGTCACCCCTAAGTAGTCCTTGCTTCAAATTTGAGCCCCTAAACTCTCTTTTTCAATTTTTGGTGCATCTAGCCCTCCTTTTGGGCCAAATGCATATTTCTGTCTTTATCTCTCTTTTGTTTCTTTCCATTTTGGGCTGCCAACTCATTCCGGAGTTGGCTGTTTGGGTAGACCTCATAAAAAACGGCCATATTCCCTCCTCCATGGATCTGAATCTCAGATCTCAGATCCATGACCCAAAAGAAAACCGGTCATTTTTCCTTTGCATTTTTTCTCATTTTTCTCTTTTTAATTCAAATTTTGTAGAGATATTGCCCCAAGGGCCATATCTCTGCAATCCGGATTGCCCTCCTCAATTTTAGGAGGGATGAGGCCAGAGTAGGGACCTGCCAGTCCCTACTGTGTCAGTCCCAATAGGCCGACACATTCTCCTCCACTCTTTTCTCCCCCTTTGTCTCATTCTCCGTCAATTTTCTCCCCTTTTTCTTTTCTTTTCTTTTATCTCTGATGTGACAAGTGTCAAGTGACTATTGAGTCATTTTCTAGATCATGCATCTTCATCCATGACCAAATTCAGACTCAGCAGTTGACCGTTATAATAATGAAGCCCCCATACTCAAGAGGGCTTTATTTTGCCTCCGTTAGCCTCAATTTTTAGCCCCCTTTGCTCCGTTTTTTTTTCGACAGCCTTTTTCCCATGTTGAGCCCCTTGGGGCTTTATTTTCTCATGCCTAGCTAGTCCGAGATACCCCGGACTGCTGGGCAACCCTTCCACCATCATTATTTTGCTTTCTTTTCTCTCACGGCTCTCCCACTTGATCTTACTAGTGCTCTTGCACTAGTTGTGCTAATATTTTCCACCGTCTAGATCTTTGATCTCGACGGTGTCGTTTGCTTCGTAACCATTTCTTATGTTGGCTCATGGTTCCCTTGGGACATCTCAAGTCCCCGTCACTTTCCTCCGTACTAGTTCTATTTTCTTGTCCCGCGCGCTTGTCGTATTTTTCGGCTATTTTTATTTGGGTTCATTTGGTCCCCAGCAATGTCTCGGATGATGTCGCATTTTTATATTGGGACCTCGTAGCCCTTGTAAGTTCCAATGTCCCCTCCTCAAGTGCCCCATGTGTGCCGATTATTCTTGGCCGCGATATCTCATCTCACGGTTGTCGTTTACCGTCTCTATTTGCATTATGCCGAAATCACTCTTTTCTAGCCCTTTGAGCTTGTCATGACTCATTTTTTTTCCCTTGGCCTAGGCATCCTTATGCAGTCCGTTATTTTTCGGACTGCAACTGTGGTCATTTTCCTAGTCTCATAGCCTCACAACTTGCCCCAAACTGAAAGAAAATGAAGTGCTCAGTTTTCAAGTGCATCCGGGCTCAATATTGGCTCCGGATGCACCTAAAACATGTGTTTTCCCTTCCTCATGCAGTCCGCTGTAACTCGGAATGCAATGGGGGTTAATTTCCTAGCCCTTTTACCCCATAACTAGCCAACAACTGAAGGAAAAAGAAACGGTCAACTTTCAAGTGCATCCGGGCTCAATATTGACTATGAATGCACCTAAAACATGTGTTTCTCTTCCCCCATGCAATCCGTTGTATCTCGGTTGCATAGGGCCTTGATTTCTCTTGATTTTCTCTACAAAATCAAGAGAAAAACATGTGTTTTTCTTCCCCCATGCAATCCGTTGTATCTCGGTTGCATGGGGCCTTGATTTTTCTTGATTTTCTCTGCAAAATCAAGAGAAAATCAATGCCCTTTGCAACCGCCATATTCCAGAATGTATCTGGTTACAGATGCATCTCCCCAAGTGGTCGTTTTTTACCGTTAAGGCCTTTTTTTCTTTTATTTTATTTTCTCTTTTCTTTTATTTTCTTTTTCTCCTTTCTTGGACAGTAGGGACCTGCCAGTCCCTACTTGTGGCAGTCCCTACTGACGGCCAACTCACTCACTCCCTCTTACTCTTTTTGTCTTATTCTCCCACTTTTTTTTTTTCTTTTCTTTCTTTTTCTAGCATGTCAAGTGTCAAGTGGTCGTTAAGGCCCTTTTCTAGGCCCTTCCTCTTAGTTTTGGCCCTCCCTATGCCCATCAAACTGCAATAATGACTTTCGCATGCCCATGGGAGCTTCCTTTTACCTCTATTTCTCTCACATAGTAGCCCTTCTTACTCCGATTTTTTTCCGGAGGCCTATTTTTCACATGAAGTCTCTTTTAACTTCATTTTTTTTCGGGAGGCTGATCCGAGATTTTTCGGATTGCTCCCATGCCTCCCTCTTCATGTTTCTTTACTTTTTCTTTTCTTTTTGGCCTTCCCGTTTGCTACCACTAGTGCGTGCACTAGTGGTGCTGATATTTTTGGCCGTCAAAATCGAGATCTTGATGGTGCATCTTGTTTTTCTTGTTTTCCCCTCATGCCGCTCCGCCGTTTCTCTTGAGACCTTCTCATGGCCCCGCCCCTTGTCCGGTCGGTGGTCCCCGACACTTTGTCCCACCGGTGGTCCCCGACACTTTGTCCCGTCAGTGGTCCCCGACACTTTATCCCTCCGGTGGTCCCCGACACTTTTTATCCCGCCGGTGGTCCCCGACACTTTTTGTCTCGGATGCCATTATTTTGACTTAGTCTCACGTGGTCCCTGGCTATGTATCACCCGCGGTCGTGATCGCGGGCTATTTGACCGCACGCGATCGGCACCCACGGCCAAGTGGGGTCGGGAAACCCCGATATTTTTAAATCCTGGGATAATAGGTCAAAAAATAAAATAAAAATATGGGGTCGTAGGTTTTTGTGCGCTCTACATCCGTATGTTTTAGTTTTATTTTTCGACTTCTTTTTCGATTTCAAAAAAATGAAAAACAGAAATCCCTTAGGCAAAAGTTCTTCACTTTATTCTTTTAGTAAAAGAAAAATAAAGGATT